ACACTTTATGTGAAAATCTAGAAAAAATGCATTCTACGTGGTTAGTTTTTTGTGATATATCGAAAGCGTTCGATCGTGTGTGGCACAAGGGACTGGAGGTGAAACTAGCAAATTATGGTATAAGTGGTAAACTTTTAATTTAGCTTGTAAATTATATAAGTGACAGAAAACAACAGGTTTGCGTGGGCAACTCTAAATCTTCTATCGAAATGACTAAATCTGGTGTTCCACAAGGTTCTGTACTTGGTCCTTTATTATTTATTTTATATATTAATGATATATCTGATAATCTTCAAAGTCTATCAAAGTTGTTTGCAGATGATACATCGTTATTATATTCTAAGCCATCCCCTTACAATGTTGAAACTGTAATCAACAATGATTTAGAGTATATTCAAAATTGGGCGAGAAAATGGCTTGTAAAGTTTAATCCTTCAAAGACAGAGGCATTATTTATTCATAACTCTGAACTAGATTATGCTATTGATATTAAATTTGATGATGTTAGTGTGAATTTTGTAGATAAACATAAGCACTTGGGAGTTATATTGGACGGAAATTGTAAATGGACTAGCCATATTGATGACATCTGTAAAAAAGTATCAAAGCAGATTAGTATTTTGCGTAAACTAAAATTTATGTTAAGTCGGCAAACTTTGTATAGAATATATACATCTTATATTATACCATTGTTAGAATATTGTTGTGAGGTGTGGGATGGGTGCACTCTCGGTGATACAGACAAATTAGAAAAACTCCAATTAGAAGCTGCTCGTGTAATCACGGGTTACCGTCGTACACGAACTGAGAGTCTCTATATTCCGAAAGTGGTTTAGAACCACTTACCATTAGACGATCTAGACGAAAATTGCAGCTTTTCTACAAAATTAAACACAATATAGCACCCAATTACCTAACATCTCTCCTTCCACCCCTAGTCTCAGAAAACTCTCAATATAACCTTCGGAATGCTAATAATTACTCTATACCCAATTACCGTTTACAGCTTACAAATTCCTCCTTCTTTCCCTCTACAATCCAACTATGGAATCAGTTAGATAATGAAATCCGACAACGTGTAACATATTCGTCTTTTCAACATTCTCTTCTTTGTGTTAGATATACTCAAATTCCCTTCTATTATCTAATTGGTGACAGAAAAAATAACATTTTACATTCTAGATTAAGAAACAGATCAAGCGCTCTAAATAATGATTTATTTCATGCTAATTTGGTTAATTTTAAACACTGTCAATGTGGAAATTCTATTGAAGATGCACATCATTTCTTTTTTGAATGCATTAATTATGCCGATCAACGTTTACAGTTGTATCGTGAGCTAAATGATTTCATCCCACTGGACCCGCACCTTCTTTTATTTGGAAATTCTCATTTGTCTAAACAGGAAAATAAAACTATTTGTCAATCAACCCACGGTATATTAAAAATACTAATAGATTTAATTAGACCTTATTTCATAGTAAATTTATATTTGGTCTTTCCTGACTCGGGTGACATATGTTTGAGAAAAGTTATTCCAGAAGGACCAGCAAGTGTCAAGGAGAAAGACATCGGTGGCACGGGATGTGATAGACAATAGATTAGTTTGAACGACAAGAACAGTGGATCAGTACTTATAATGGTGATTGTCACCCGATTCGGGTTAGACAACATTACTTATTGTTCTTAGTAAGAATTATATGTAGTCTTCAATATGTATATGTTGTTTTTGTAACTCTCTCTCTCTCTCCCCCTCTCTCTCTCTCTCTCTCTCTGTTTATGATAGTATATATATGTATATATAACAATAGGCCATCATCAACATTTATATTAAATACTAATCACTTGGAACGGGCTTAGTATAAGTTGGAAAACTTGTGCCCAATCCTTTATGTATAGTTGTATGCAATAAAATATGTTTAAATCAAAATCAATCTGATCACACCAACATACACATCTATTTAAAACTGATAATAATCATTCTTATATGTACATGTATATTAAAATCAGTAAATGCCTTATTAAAGAATTCTGGCATTATATTTGTAATTAAGAAGTCCTTTATTGGTAACATCTATAATGGAATGTTTGTCTTTTCTCTCTTTCCTAAACACCCACTTTCTTTCTCTCATGACAATACTGTCCCACTTTCAGCCGAAGTATTGCGTGTCCTTCCACGTAAAGAGGATTAGGTTACGTCTTCAAGTCGTGACACAGTAAACTGCGGAGTACCGTGCGATAGAACAATAATGTATCTAATTACAAATACAAACATACGGAGACAAATTAAAAATATACCTTGACTATAAGTTAGGTACCACTCGTATGCTAGATTTAGCTATTTTTTCTGCCGTTTTTAAGAAAAATACTCATTGACATCTCAACGAGATATATTGGAATGTTTTTAAGACATCTTACGAAACTATACAAAGTCGATAGGAAAAGAAATTTACAGAACAGAAAGTGCTGTGTCATTTTAAAAAGATGTTCCCAAAGTCAAGAAAAAGTTTGAATTTTAACTTCTCATAAGGCTTATGAACAGATATGTCATCAAATCACCAAGACATGTTACTTGATAAAAAGAAGATTAAATTATCAACAAGTTTTATTGGGTATAACCACCATGCTTCTGGTACGATTCTTGTGGCGGCCATCGTATAATACCATTGACCTGACGAAGCAGTTTGTTCTGTATAAACTTCTTCCTCTCCTGAGAACGAAGACGCTTGTGCGAACGTATCGGGGCTTATTTCTGCCATTTTACCTTTTCGCTTTTTCGCATTGTTTCCATTTTCTACACGGAAACGCGAAAAGGCGACAAAATGAACACGAAAAGGCGCCGTCTTTTACTTGGAAAAAAAGTCGCCTTTTCGCGTAATTGAAAAATTTTGAACGCAAATGAATGAATTATGAGATGTCTCAACTAATAGGTTTCTAATTTGTTATTAGTACAAGATATGTAGTTATTCCTTATATCAAACTTCAACAATCAAAAGGCGAGTCTTTTACAAGTGTAAAACGGCGCCATTTTAGCGTTCATTTTGTCGCCTTTCCGCGTTTTCGCGCAGAAAATGGTAGGCGAAAATTCGGTGGGTTTTCCATACTAATGCCTGTTGAAGTAACGACAGCTAAAGCGATCATTGATGTTCCATTGTCCTCAGAGCCCGTCAGCATTAGTGGAAGCGGCTCGCCTTGTCTGTCTACATGGAAGTTTAACTTCTCCATCTAATCTTTCTAGGCCTGCCAGACGTCAACATGTCCAGTTTGGTTTAGACGCTGTATTACTCAAGAAATAACAGAATGGTTGACATTAAAACGTGTAGCCGCTTGCCTGTATGTCATTCCATCTTGAACCATTCCAGGAGGTCGTCATTGTCAACATTTCTCAATTTTCGACGTGCTATTTTGAAGGCTGCAATATGCAAGCACGTGTATGACCTACTTATATGATACATATGCACAAGCTGCTTTAGGTTGCACACCAAACTTGTGTTTTTTAAGAGTATTAGGAACTCTGGCTTAATCAAGATTACCTTAAGTTGGGTATATCGCCTGAAGACACACGGCACCAAACATAAAAGGGGACACTGCATGGAGTACGAAAATACTTATTTTCACGAAAGGAAAAATCAGTTTTGATTAAATTTTCCCACTTATAAAAATACTGCGAAGAAAGTACTTCTTTATATATGAAGTAATTAAGCTTTCTAAGCAATAAATTAAAGGCTGATGATCTCCAAACAAAATCAAAAGCAGGAAAGAACAAAGGGCAATAACTCTTCTACATATCCTTGAGTCCAGTGCCATTGAAAAAACAAAATCTCTGCCCAAAGTCCAATGCCATTCCTTACATTCATTGACAGTGTCATGTCATATCTTTGACTGCATAAAAAGTCACGTCACGCTCCCTGGCTGTCGCCCAGCATTGAATAAGATGTATCAGAACTATTGCCGATTGTCAGTACACTCAGTAATGTAACCGTAGGTCATGCTACTTTGGCGACATTTCATTGTGATGGCACTTCTGCCGAGCTTTCTCTCTGACTGTTACAAGGACGTCAATCAAACACGCAAACGTGGGAAATGGCGAAAACACATGAAAATATAGCGGATTGCCAAAGTTCTATATTCTTACTCTAGCTGTGTTATGTAAATTACATAAACGAAGCATCATGTACAATTTATAAATCACTATAAAAAAAACTGATATACAATAATTAGTCATTAATTCTATCTTTTTATTTAATTGTTGCAACAATGCATGTTTTAATAATAATTGGAAAGAAAAATAAATAGAAGTAATTGCTTTTGACAAGGGACTTTTGCATAGGTCGCTTCCTTCCAAGTTTTAAAACCACAACAAAATAGAACACATCTTAAATTCTAACTCTAATGTAAACGGTGAAACTTTACTTAGCTGAAAAAACAATAACATATTTAGCTAAAATTAAACGGTCTAATTGAGGTCACTTTAAAACAAAAGTTATTAGCTGACCGTTTTTGTTGTATGTTTTCATGTCAACTTCCTGTGACGTCATGAATCGTCACTGTAATATTTTTGCGTATACGTCATCAACATCGCATGTATACGTCATCGTTATACATATACAAGTACTGCAAATCTGAGGTAATGCTGACTAAATAATGAAGGAGCAAACGGTTTAATAATTTATTTAAACATTGTATTTTTACGACGATCTTACATTGTCGTTGTTATGCGATTTTTAAAACATATATATATTCTAACAACATTTGTGAAGGTATTTACCTCGTAAATCACAGACTCGTTTCATCCGAGACGTAGACCTATTATGTCTGCCTAACGTTAGTTCTCGCGGCGTTTGATTGTTATTGTAAAGCCGAGAAACCTTAAAAACTTTCCATCTGAGACTTATTCGTTTCGTTTTTATTTTCAGTGGGTAATATACATCATCTGTTACTCGGTAATGTATTGTCGTCGGCTTATCCTTGGACGAAATGTTAGTCGTGTGTGTGTCCAACTAACGAGAGGACTCAAGGAATTCTACAGTATGTCGCAGGCAGTGGGCGACAACAAGAATAAGGTGTACAAGGTGGTTTTGACAGGTGGTGAGTAACATAGACGTAGCCATTGTTACATCATCAAGGAAAACATTTATAAGCAGGTCGAAATTTCGCACGTGGTCGGATTAGCATTACTATTTTGTGGCGCTAAATTAAAGGGCACCAGAAGTAAACATAGATAGTTAAAATGACACGAGGCTGCAGATCAGTTTTACTGTACATGCACATCCAAAGTAGTAATTAAGAAGATAATTACATTAATTACAATCTTATCGAAAGATTGTTGAAATAACGATTCTTTTTTCTGTAGAGTTACCTCCCGCGGTTGGTATTGGTGCTGAGTCTGACCACACGGGTGATGGTCTGTAATGGTACAGGTTTCCTCATGACAGTTTGCTTGTTGTCTCCTATTAAACATCGCATATTTCATGTCTCATGTCTACATCAGTGATGACATGTGATGTTCAGTTACATTTGATTTAAACGTAATTTTATTTTGGTTATTTCAGTTACAATCCAATAGCAACTCTTGGTAATATTCGTGCGGGGGAACAGATTGATATGGAAAAGGTTCACAAGTTTTGTAAAGGTGTATTAACCAGATAATTCCCAGGATTTTGAAATGAAACTGAAGAAATACTGTCATTTTGCTTCAGCAAGAATTTTCACATAAATATTTTGTAAGCAACAAAACATGGGGATACAAACTTTTAAATTTTTTTGGACAAAATTAATATTTTTCCAGTAATGAGGTTACCACAGAAGCTGAAATTTGGAAAAAAAGTGTTAGTTTTCTGTATCAACAAGTGTTTGTGATGGTGGAAGTGATTATAAAACATATAAAAGAACTTACATGTATTGGGTATCCCAGGAGAGGGAACCTAAGGATATACATATGCCAGAAATTTTACTGATGGGTGGTTGTTGCCATGGTTACCAACTCAGTTTTAGAGCACTTAATGTTGTAAAAATAGTGAATTTGAATTCGTCTGCGTAATTTCACTGCATTAGAAAAGGTTTCTATTACAGAATTAATATTTTAGACAACCACCTGAATGTGTAAATGGAAACTGAAAAAATGATGATCCTGGGTTGTCCATAAGAGCCGGTCGCCGGCCAATTTGACCGGCTACTTTGATCATTTGGCCGCCTACACCAATCCAGTTCCGTAATAATGTTCCGTACACGACTACACATACACAGCAGGCCAGCCTCCTACTTTCACTACACAGCCTACTACTAACAAAATTATGGAAAACCCTGATGATCTGTTATATCTTAAAGCAAAGTAATATCTCTTTCACATTGCCATTGCAAGCAAAATTTGGATATTTTTCAAAAACACATGGACATGATGTTTACAAACAATTTAAACTTCATTATTGAATGAATAGTTATTTTATAATGATGTTTTAAGTTCTTAACAATTGAATACGTGTTCTGAATACAATTACAAGCCTTTCTGAATATTCATTTTAGATATCAGGGTAGATAATGCATTTAAATGACAGAATGATTTACAGGAGTTTTGCTTTCAGTAGTTGCTTCCAGTTTTCGATTATTTCTTTCGTAATGATTATTGTTGCACTTATTTTTTTAAATAATGATTTAGAACATGATAATATTGTTCATCAGGTTGACAAACTACATGTAGTAGAAATACAAAATCAATTTTGTTTACTTGTCTATTTTGTATGTGTTTTAGTAGTCATGGTGACCAAAAAGGTAAAAAACAGTTGGTCATTTGAATCTCTAAACATTTCCACTTCACTTGTTGGGGATTTCATTTCATGTGTTAAAACATAAAGGGATAAAGGATCATAACAGACACTAGTCAGAATGATTTTAACATTTTGTTGAAAATGAGACCTAACAGTGCTCAAAATGTGTTTATTGTAGTCAAAGTGGTAACATATCTTTACAATGCTATTATAAACATTTTGTTTTCCGTTGTTATAGTATTATCAATATAAAACCCTGATGATGTTTCCAAAACTACTTGGTAATTACTTATACCAGAGTCTTGCTAGAAGTTAGAAACAACAACACATAATTTAGATGAAATGATCATAATTTTGCATAATCCTCCAAATAAATGGTGAGGGGAAAGGTAAGTGAAGAATTGGTGGGCTCTGATCTCACAGAATAGCTTGGATGTTCCAGTATCATCACAATTAATTCATGCCACGGAAATCCGGTGTTGATGTACCTGAAGTTAGCAATTTGAAAAAAGTATTAATATTAGCACCCTGTTGAACGCAAATGAACATTCAATTAATATTTCATCATAAAATAGTTGAAGTTAAAAAGTAACAATTGAATGTCCTTGTCATAAGCTGTACCACTTCAGTAATACTTACAAATCTAATAACAGAATTTATTTAAGAATGTTGATATAATAAACACCAAATTATATTAGAAGCCAGTTCCTCTGGATAAATATTCAGATAGTGTTAATTAATATTTACATGTATGCACGGAAAAATCCAAAAGTTCACAGAAGTTCAAACAAATACAGTTTCACTATATAATTTTTTTCCATGTTCTTATTGTTCTATCAATCTGTTTATGATATGTACCAGGGCTCTCGCACAACATTTTGGGACTGGGGCCTGGGGCACTTAGAATTGGGAAAAATAATGTTGTTTTCCTTAGAATTGGGAAAACTTGGGGTCTAAATTGGGAAAAAAAGATACTATTTTGTATTGGGAATTCGGCCCCAAATCAGGCAGATTGAGAGCCCTGTGTACATATGCAATGTTAGACAATATATAAGACAATTTTTGGTCTAATGAATATCTCTCCAGAATTTGAGGCTGAAGTTTACATTCTCAGCTTTATAATTACACATGGGGCTCCTCATAATCCAACTGAACTGCCATGTACTGTTTTCATTGTCAAGGCCATTTCAACTATCATTCTTTAAAAATAAATTCACTGAAACAATGAAGTTGATTTAGAAGATGGCAGTATACTTTTTGGTACACATTTAATCACCTTCTAGTTATTTGCTCTTTCCCTTTATTAAGAAGAATCATCTATACTCTTTCTTATAATTTTTTCATTTCCATACAAAAATGTGTATTTTGTATATGTGTGTTTGTGTTATATTTATCTAAAGAAATTACAGAACCTGTTTTTCTTGCTGGGAAAGGTAGAGCATCCTCTGACAACTGGTATGTCCTAGGTTCAAATTAGATAGGAAACTGCAGTAGATTTGATAGTGGAAAATATATAGATAGAAAACTGCAGTAGATTTGATAGTGGAAAATATATAGATAGGTAACTGCAAAAGATTTGATAGTGGAAGATATATAGATAGGTAACTGCTGTAAATTTGATAGTGGAAGATATATAGATAGGTAACTGCTGTAAATTTGATAGTGGAAAATATATAGATAGGTAACTGCAGTAGATTTGATAGTGGAAAATATATAAGAACTAAGTACATGTATCTGGTCAGGAATTTCTCACAGTAGATTACCATCCTTGTGTATTAGGAGAAAGCGATATATATCACCAACATGTAGTATCAGGAATCTATGACACACATTATACACATAACTACCAATATTGTGCTCCAGACAATTTAGACAAATCAATTTGATGAAAGCAATTCTTATGATTTTTACCTGGTACAGTTTGTTCATTATATTAAGATCTAGATCTATAAGACTTTATGTACTGTAACAGGAAAACTGAATGTTGTAAGTCCAATTTCAGCTGCTTGTATATGTACCTTTGTTCGACCTAAAAAGCAATAAAAATGTGTAAATAAATATGTATAGCGAAGTAGGGACAATGATGTGGTAAATAGATTAAAAGGAAAGTTTTCAAGATATCGACTTGTGGAACACATCAAAACTTTGAATAAATATGATATGGCATACATGTTTACCTCATCACTACATAACTTTGCAAAACTTGACAGGTTTTGGTGTAGCCTCTTATAGCTACAGTATAGTTCATGATCAGACTCAACACCTGTGAATTACATTGCCTGGATTTATTTTGCTAAGTCATTAGATGTGAGAACTTATGATAGTGCACTTAGTAAGAGTTGGCAACAGATCTTGCTGCAGTGGTGAATTATCTCCTCAAAATATGTCAGGTCCCATCAAACAGGTGCCTGCTCATCTTAATCGAAAGTGATCTTTTCAAACTCAAAATTTTCAGGCTTACCAGTAACCATATTGGTAAAAAGTTAACAGTTGAGCCTTTTGATTTGGCTGTATTTTAAAGAGTTACTGCCCCTTGTAGTTTTTTATGATAATGTACTGAAATCTCCAGTTTCACCTTTCTGCAGATTTTTTTTTCAAACTTAGTAGGCTTAATAACCACATAACCATCATGACATGAAGATTAGTTTTCCTAAACAACATTTTATTCAACAATTTTAACATGAATAATTGCCCTTTTTATCGTGCCTTTTAGGGTCTTTTTGACAACGTTTAATTCTGTCTGGTGATCTGCTCCCTCACTTTTTAACCAGTTTCTTTTAAATTTGGTAGGGAATGATATCTCAAATTCTTTCACATTATCATTTCATAGATCATAGAGTGCATGAAAATATGAAATAGGGGTCATTTTCCAAAAGTATGAGTCATGGTTTTGTTGATAAAAAGCATATAAGCATTAATTTAATGCATCACTTTTGATTTGATTGTGAAATGAAAAGATAAAAAAATCTTTGACATTATGTCAATGCAGAAGCCATCATCAGATTGAAATCCTATCTAATCATAATCACTTCAGTTAGTATTCAGTGTAGCATGCAATGAATAAGCATAGAACTTTTATTTCACATTCTATGATCTACTCTCTGGTCTTACATATTCATATACAAAAAAGATCCAGACCACACCAAGTATATTTAATTGCCATTTTTTCATTGTTGGTCACGTGTGCAAGCTTATAAAGCAACGAAAGTGACTAAGGAATCTGAATGTGTAGAAGTGAAGAGTGAGTATGTACATGTGAATGTTAACACAAGTATAGATTTTTATGGTGTGTATTTCACAAGAATAACAGATAACTTTTTTTAT